ATGCAGACTTTGCTATGCGAAAAAATAAAAAAATGTACCCAATATTACTTTGAAACATGGGTGATATATAATGCAAGCCTTTAAAAAAAGAGAAAATCTTTCTGCGCTCTTATCTTACAAAATTGTTGATATTACGGAAGTTAGTACCACACAAAAAGTATTGGCACATGCTTACTCTACCTACACATCAGTACTGTATACCTGTATAGATGGTAAGGATGAGGTGTAAGACAGTTGAACCTCTAATCTAAGTCAAATTTCAATTGACCAGCAAAAAAAATTTGGCTTGGGCCAAGAGGTTTCAACTTAGAGGTTTTGAGTTATAGATCTTTGAGATATGAAACCAAGCATTTTGTTGTGGGAACCATAGAAGAATTGTACAAAATTGTAAATGGTAATATTCTGGGCCTTAAATTGCTCCTAAAATGAGTTGAAAGGATGCTGAACTTTGAGGCAGGGGTTCACTGGCCCAATTTAGCCTGTTGCATCCTTTCAAAGCACTTCAAATACTGTTTTTAATTGCTTTATTTCTTCCTGAATAAAGAATGTCATGGCCTAATGGCCTCAGAAAATTCAACTTATGGAGGTGTTAAAGGAAAAGCCTTTGAGTTAGGGAGGTTTTTAACGCATCCTACCTAATAGGAGAATTCAGACAGGGATTTAAGACTTGAAAATAATTTGGCTTAGGAAGGTACAGTATTTTACTTGGAGACGTTCAACTTTTTCAGGTTCAACTGTATATGAAGTCTACTGAATAAATAAAAAATTTCAGAAAGACAATAGCAGATTACATTACATGCTTAGGAATGAAAGTTGGCTTTTCTTCTGAGAACACTTCAAACAAAATTACACATTGCGAAATAAATCATTCCAAGCTATTCATATGCACTTGAGCAATCTGTATCTGCAATTGAGGCATTATCACTATACTGCATTTATTTCTCCGCGAAGTCGTCTATCATTTATTCGAAATTATCGGCGAAAGATTGAACTCCAAGTTAAAATACAGTGGTACCTCACAGAACAAACTCCTCATAAAATAAACATTCCACAGAACAAACGTTTTTTTCGAGGAAAATCATTTTTTTTTTCACCCTCATACTACGAACAAAATTCGTAGTACGAACTTTTTTTTTCCCACAAAAAATCTGAAAAATTCAAAAATTCGAAATTTTTTAAATATTTCTATAAAGGCTCTAAAAAATTGGAAAAATCAGAAAAAATCATCCACCATAATTATATTCAATTGAGAAGCTATTTACATTATTTAAAGTAGAAAATTTTTTTAATTAGCAATCCCAAAAATTATTTTTAAAAATCCAAATGAATCCTGTACCACTTTTTGAGGACTATTTTCTCTACCAGGTTGAAATTCATCAAATCACTGCATCTGGGGGGGGGGGGGGG